CGGGAAGGGGCCGGGCCGCTGGGGAAGAGGCGGCGGGAAAGCCGGGGAGGGCAGCGGCGGGGGCGGACAGCCGAACGGAGCGGAAGGCGGTGGCTGCGGGGGCGGCGGTCCCTGGCGGCCCTGGGCGAAGAAAGGTGGCAGGGCCATGTCTGTAGCGCAACGGTGCGAGCTCTGACAGTAATGTCTGTACTTCTTTACGCGAGTTCCTGGAGGAAGTGACGTTTTACAACGCGCGACTCCTCGCCTCCCGGAAGTGCGCCGTACTGCGATACTTTGGTTCGCTTGAACTCACACGTCCTGTCCTTCTGTGAGTGTTCTAGATGAGGAACTACAGGGAATCAGCCCGAGACTTCGGCTAAGATCTCAAAGACAAGGAGTTACGTTTCCGGGTGACCTTTCCGACCCCCAGAGCTAACACCGGGAGAAATCATGTGGCCGCTCTCTAGAAGGCAGTTTAAAACCATGTAGACACGGTCTTGAATTGCTTTGGGGAAAGGCGTCACCCCTTGGCGGCTTTCTGAGAAGGGCCGCGTTTGGAAGTGGGTGGGTGAGTAGGGCCTAAGTGGAGCTTCCAACCGAACATGTCATATCAGGTTTTTTGGTTGTTTACTTTTTGTGTTTTTGAGACAAGGATTCTCTGTGAAACCCTGGTTGTCCTGTAACTCAACTTTGTAGACCAGGCTGGCATCGAACCGTCTGCTTCTGTCTCCCTAGTGCTGTGATTAAAGGCGTGAACCACTACTGCCTGGTTCCGGGTTGTCAAAGCTTAACAGTGAAAAAACAGTGGTTATAAGCCAGAGTTGTGAAGGGAAGTCCTTCCATTTTATTAGTTTAAAATTTAAACTTCTTTGGAAAAACTTAAGATTCGTATTCAGCAGTAAGAAACATTACAGATTGCTTCTGTGTGTCCTTTATTCCAGTTTCTCTACCTGCAACATCTTATAAAGCTGCAGTTCATTTACCTGAAAATGGAGACTGCTCGTTAGTTTCCTGGCCACCCATATCCAAATAATCACACAAAAACTATATTAATTACAACACTGTTTGGTGACCGGCTCCAGTGTATTCCTAGCTAGCTTTTATATCTTAAATTAACCCATTTCTATTAATCTATTGCCATGAGGCTGTGGCGACTTTCTCCTTTGGCAGCTACATGTCTCTCTGACTCTGCCTGCTCTCTTTATATATGTCTTCCAGCCTGGCTATATTCTGGCAATAAAACGTATTCACAGCATACAGAGGGGAATCCCACATCATTTACCCTTGTAGAAACACACTACTTTTATTCCTTAACCCAACTTAATCTTGTCACCACTAATTCACATACCAAAAGGGGGAGAGTGTTTGCCTGACCACCACTCGGTGACTCATCATGAGTCTCCAGTCCTTTAAAAGGTCCCTGCCACCACAGATCTCTCTTGCTCTCTTCTCTGCCTCTCAGTCTCTCTGTATTTCTCTCTCATGTCCTCACACCGAGACCTTTCCATCATTGTCCCTTCCATCCCATAAACCTCTCACATGAGATCTCTTGGGTCGTGTGATCTCTTAGCAGCACACCTTGGCTTCAACTCAAGGTACACCCCACCCTACCGCTCAATTCTAACATGTGTGTTCTAGTGTTATTGCATTTTGGATGGATGGATGGTCAGAGTGGTAATGGGAGCTGACTCCTTCCTTCTAACACGTGGACCTGGGGACTTCACTAGCAGGTACACTTACCCTCTGAGCCACCTGGATGACCCATGTTTTGTTTTTCTACTGATGACACCTGATCTGTAAAATTTAAGAAAACAGGTAAGATAGAGGGGCACACATGAAAGAAATGTTTTAAAGTAAATTTCCAGCCATGTTTGCTTTCATTTATTTCTTTAGAGCCTACCCTTCTCAACAATGTAAAATGTACATCTAATTATGTCTAACTCTGAGTTGAAACTTAAATCTTATTGCTTTCTGTAAAAAGAATTTACCTGTTAACTTGGCTTCCAAGGATGTGGTTTTGTTCTTTTGACACAGGGTCTTATTATGTAACCCCTGGCTAGCCTGAAACTGTAGGCAGACCAGACTGGCTTTGAACTCAAAGAAATCTGCCTCCCCTGCCTGGATTAAAGGTGTGCACCACCACTCCTGGCATGCTTCCAAGGTTCTGGCTGGTTTGTTTTAGAAACGAGAGTCTTGTTCTGTAGATAGGGCTGGTCCCAGGTTCAGTTCTCCTCACTCAGACCTCTGCATGTAGATTATAGGTGTGAGTCACCACACTGGGATAGACTTTTTAAATGTAGAGACAACTAAATATATCAAGCACTACAGTAGTTTAAAAGGACAACCTCACCAAAAAAAATTCAGCAAAATACAAATACAAGTTATTATGGCGGGTACCTGTAAGTTATAAAGGTGTGAGGACAAGTGCATGCTATCAAAATTCTCTCACGCTGCCTTCCATAGTCTTAAAAATACTTTTCATTGTGCAAAAACATCTGTCACAGTCATTCTGACATAAATATGCTGTTTAGGCAATGTATATGTCTAAAACTTATGTTTTCACAAACCCAAAAAATTCTTGTGAATTCTAGGGAGCTGAATTGAAGGATCCACCTTAAACAGGCCAGATACACCCCTCTCAATTCCCTGGTCCTAAATTTTTTTTTTTCCCTAAACTTAACTTTGTACTCTGTTCTGGCAATACCTTAAACAGGTATAAGAGACACCAGCCATTTCCATACCACAAACAACAGACAGGAGCAAAGAGACCAG